TTTTTAGTTTTTGCCAGGAACACAGCAGATCCATTTTCGACGGAGGTCCATTAATGGATTAAGAGGCAAGCCACCAACACAGCTCCCTGTAACCTACAGCCTCCCTCAAGGGCTGGCCAATTTGTAAGGCGCCCGGGCGGCTTAGCCCTTGCTGGCCACGGGTGCTGGAAGAGAGAGGGGGGGCTCTTAATAGTTGAAAGACCGGTTTTCCATCAAATCCTTCGGTCCTTCGCCCACATCTGGCGAGACGACGCACACGCAGTTTCCATTTCAGCCGCTGTATTTGCTCCCCGGGGGGGTTGTCAAATGTTTTGCTTTGCATTTTTAATATCAGATAACATTTTGGGGGGTGAGTGTTCCTTTTGTTTTCCTCCCTTGCACGTCAAACGTCTTCCCTTTCCTTCTCATTCCTTGTCTAGATTTTGAGAGCACTCCGTTCTTGGCGGACAAGCGTACGGTTTAAGACAAGAAGGCGCTTGCCATTGTATTGTTAGATCCAACGTCACAGCTTTCCTCTCTTTCTGTGTGTGTGTTGGTTGTTAGATCCAACGTCACAGCTTTCCTCTGTGTGTGTGTGTGTTGATTTAGTTTCACTCTGCTTTCTCTCTCTCTTCCCCCCCATCCCTTTTTCTTGTGTTGTCATTGTTGGTTTGATTTGATACTATGATTATTTTTATATTTTCTTGCTCTCTTTGGGGAGTGATTGCGTGTTGCAGTTTGTTTCCTGAATGCCTGGAGTCAGCTCTGTGTACCTTCACCGATAGCGCCAGGCCGGGGGAGGGGGGGAATTTGCCGTTATTTCCCACCCCTCTGCAGACCACAGATAGCTTGGCCACAGAAACCTGCCTTTCCCCTCAATAGGCCAGTGCTCTGCTTAGAGCAAAATCTGTGTCCCTTTGGAGAGAAGCACAGCATAGAAATGAAATTGAATGAAATGAATGGACTGGTAGGTAGGTAAGGTAGGTAGGTTGATTGATTGATTGATTGATTGATTGATTGATTGATTGATTAAAAACTACACAGAGAGAGATCTTCACATGGCTTTAAAAGGGAGAAAAAGCACTATTCTATCCTCTCAACAGTTCAGAAAATAAACAGGGTTAAAAGGCGTCGGAGGTGCGTATGTTTTTGTTTTGTTTGGATTCGAATAGCGTTTCCCCAAATCTCTGTGGCTCCTTTAGGGGAAGTATTTAGAATGATGAAGTTTTTAGATGAATTTAAAAATTAAGGTTTCCTCCTGACCCATTGGTTCCCAACCATTATGCTGTTGGACTACACAGCCCATGTGTCCTGCCTTGTTCAAGCTAGGTGTGCTAGTTGAGGAGGATGGGAGGGACAGTCCAGAACCATCTGGCAACTCAAGGGGTTCCCCACCTGGGGGAGGTCCCCAGAGGTTCTTGGGACTGCGACTCCCAGAAATCCTGGGCCAGCACAGCTGGTGGGTGAAGGCTTCTGGGAACTGTAGCCCAAGAACCTCTGGGAACCCGGGACTCAGCCTCCTCGAACACAATCCGTGGCCTCCATCTGAGGAGCAGGACTCAACGCGGAGTTCATGGTTTTACCACCAAGCCTGAGCTTCCTGCTTCACACACCCCCTCCATGATGAATTCCGGAAAACCCATCCCATAATGAGTGCCCTAGTTCCAAAATTGCGAATGACCAGGTTAGGGTGCTGGGTTTGTGTCGTAGAAGATGGGCTTAAAATCCCTGTTCAAGGCATGCAATTCTTTTGCGTGAAAATCGGTTGACCTTCATTCAGCCTTTATCCCCTAGGTACTAAAATAGGAATAACAGCAACCTACCTTGCAGTGCTGCGGGGTTTTTTAGGGGGTGTTTTGTGGGGTTTGCTTTGTTTTGTTTTGGGTTTTTTTCCCCACAAGGGCAGGAAGAGATTGAGAAATCCGAATAGATCAGTAAATGTGGTCTACACTGCTTTCAGATTTTGCTTAAACCTTTTAAGGTTTTTGACCCTCCCCGTCGCCTCCTCCTGCCACCGTCGCCTTCCTTGTGCCGAAAGAAGACCTTGTAAACTTATTGTCTGTTTTCAGGCCCTCAGTACCGTCTGGAGAAGCAGAATGAGCCCAACGTCCCCGTTGACTTGGATTGTACTCTGGAAAGCCAAAGCACTCTGGAATTCTGCCTCGTTCGGGAGAATAGTACGTAGGCGTTTTTCCTCCCCACCCGCATCCCCCAATCCTTTTGGTCCTGCTCTCCCGAACCCCTTAAGCTCTCACGTCAATGGTGCTTTCTCCGTTTGGAGCCTGGATCAGCGAAGTTGGAAGGAGAACTGCTCTCCCGAACCCCTTAAGCTCTCACGTAAATGGTGCTTTCTCCGTTTGGAGCCTGTGTCAGCGAAGTTGGAAGTAGAGCTGGATTCCAATCTCTCTCTCTCTCACACACACACACACACACACACAGAGAGCGAGAGAGAGCAACACACTGTTTTCTTGGCTTTGCTCTCTCCTCCCTGCCAAACAGACTTCAGTTTCCAAAACCCCAGTGATGGATTTCATACCTTTTCGGTTAAATCGTCTGCCTGCTCCCCATCACTCTGTGATTAATCTTGTTTTCTCCTAACCTCTGCTCTCCTAAAAGTTGCGAGCCTGGGCTATGAACCCCTTGCCCCCCCCACGCCCTGTGACCCAGTTGTTGATTTTCCCTGTCCTCCCCCCCTGCAAAAAAAAAAGGCCATTCAGAAGCCTGTCGGTGCCTCCTGAAAGGCATAGATTACAAGCAGTAGGTTCTCATCACAGCAGTGATAGAATAATAATAACTTTTTTTAACAATAGACTTCCAGATGTTCTGTGCGACAGCTTCCAGCAAATCCACCAGTGGCTCGTTGGACCCAGGAGTCCAGAACATCTTAAAGCCACCAGGCTTGCAGTTTAATATTATTTTCATCGATAGTTCTTGCTACTTACTCCCCACCCCTCTTTTCTAAACATCACCATTATAATCTAATCACGTGCTGTCAAGTCAACCTACTTACTCCCCACCCCTCTTTTCTAAACACCACCATTATAATCTAATCACATGCTGTCAAGTCAACCCTAACTTATGGCAAACTTTTTCAGAGTTTTCTAGGTAGAGAGGACTCAGAGACTTATGGCAAACTTTTTCAGGGTTTTTTTGGGTAGAGAGGACTCAGAAGTGGGGCATCAGGTGGCAGGGAGTTCCGCCGGACTCCAGTTTCCTGGCCTTTGTTCCTATGACTGCCACACCCAGGTCATTTTTAAGGCCTTTCCAAGTGCCGGAGTGCTCTGGCTCCGATTTTTCTCTTTGCGACACTGCGACACCGTTCGCTCTCCTTTGAGGTGCCGTAATGAAAGGTAGCCGTTTGTTTAGATAAAAGAATTTTCAGTGCAAGAGCCTCGTTATTTTTTCCGATGAGCCTGCGAACACACAGTCAGGCTCTCTTGTTACATGCACGCACGCACACATGCATGCTTTACACTGAGCTGAACAGATGCTAAGTAAAATGCATGCCAGAATTCTCCCTCTGAGTCAATGTATCATTTATATTTCGAGGGATTAAGTTAAAAAGGGGCTTTGCGTTCACACAAATGCACAGCGGGATCTCTTCTCCCAGCCAGCGCTCCGTGCTGTCAGGAAGATTAACAAAAAAAAAACGTTCCCATATTTGGGACGTTTAAGGTGTACAGTAAAATGAGTATCGGAATATCTCTCCCCGCTCAGCTACTCCGTCTCCCACCACCCCTTTCCTTTTTTTTAACAAGAAGTCCCCCAACTGTTCACGCTTAATTTCCTTTTATATTTTCCACCCTGCTTCTGGAAAGTTCCCGGTTCTCGTTCCATCATTAGATAGTAATTAGTATTCAAGGGAAATTGGTCTTAATATATTAAAATTGGTTAAGTGCCTTTAGACCTGTACCAAAGCCAAAGTCTTATTGGAAAATGTAATTGGGGACGCTGTGTATGTAATTAATTGAATAACAATTAAGAACTTTCATTAAGCAATATACCAGTGCATTAAAGTAATAAGGGAACGTTTTCTGGGCATGGTGGGGTGTGCCGCTTGGTTCACCTTACGATGTTGTTGTTTTCTTCGGGAAACGAAGGCGATTGTTCCTGCTTCTGCTAGCTTCTTTTGCATGGTTTTTTTTGGCATCAGTGTGTTTCTTCGCAGTGGTGTCAGAGCTGATCACAACACTGTGGATAAAGGGGGGGGAGTGTGCAGGTTAGTGTGACACAGGATTCTCCATCAGAATATTGCAAAATTGTGATTCTTTAATCCATTGAGGGGTCTCCTTTAGCAGGGAATAGACCCGTAGAAGAGAGTGGAGTAGACTGTGATTTCGATTGCGATATTTAGTAGGTTCTGCGCATTCTCGGTTCTGCTGTATAGAATCGTAAACTTTTAACACGGGCAGCTAGGAAAGAGGCAGAAGCGTTTGAAATGTCGCTTTAGCCCAATAGGCAACAAATTCCTTCCGTCGAGAGGGTGACCAGCGAAGAAGTACTAAAGCGAGTGAATGAAGATCAAGAAATGGTAAAACTTTTAGAATGCCTCCCCCCCTCCAGAGTAACTCTTTAGCCTTACGACAAGCTTGCAAGGTAGGGATATTAGGCTGAGAGGTGGTGGCTGACCCAGGGCCTTGCGGTGTGAGGGCTCAGCAGGGTCTAAACCGGAAGGCGTGATACGAGCAATATGGATTGAAAACTCAAAGATGGGTGGACAGTTTTAGCACGGAAAGAGGGGAGACCCATTCAGCCCCTTTTCTCACGAACAAGTTCTTCCCAGTATGGCCCTTCATCCCCCCCCCTCCACCACCACCCTGTGAATCCCTGAGGGGTCGCTGTGGGGTGGAGATCAGTTTTTTTGCTGGGTTATCCCATTTGTTCCTAGCATGACGGGAGATCAGACAAGCCGGCTTGACGTTTCAGATTCAGAAGTCCGGTTATTTTTTCGCACCAGGCAGAGCTGTGAAATGGCGATGATGGGTCCATCTGCCTTAATTTGTGCATCCTCGAGGAGCCTCTGGTAGAGTGGGAGGCTGCTTCTTAGGGCACACATCATCCGTCCATTCCCTGGCAGTTCTCAAAACATTAGCTGGACAGTTTTTCTTTATTTTTCCTTTTTAAGAAGACAAGTCACCCCTGTTAAATTGATAAGGGACTTGCTCAGATACTCGACTTCATTCTTATTTTGCTATTTATAACTAACTCAGCTTGAATAATACAGAGATTAAAAACAGCAGAGGCTGGAATTCACTCCCATTTAATATTTAAAAAAGGAGGCTAATTTGTGTATAGTAGACATATATATTATTCTATCTATCTATCTATCTATCTATCTATCTATCTATCTATCTATCTATCTATCTATCTATCTATCTATCTCCCCCACTGTATCCATGGGAGAATCTGTCTCCCGGCAGATGCTGAAAAACACCGATTATAGAGAACACTATATACTGTACATAGCTTGGTGTCTTTCTCCCTCTCGTGGCCAGTTTTGGTAACTTCAACTTTAGAAAAATACATTTTTAGTATTTTTCTTTCAATATTTTAAATATTTTCAGGCCGTGGATAAGTGAATCAGCAGATAAGGGGAGCTTTAAAATATTTTCAGGCCGTGGATAAGTGAATCGGCAGATAAGGGGAGCTTTTCCGTACTGTAACATGCTGTATTGAATTGCACACCCTATGATATATAAATAATATGTATGAGCAGACCGCTTTTCCCCCTAGTGACCTTTAGGCCCCTAACATGGCTCTCCTCCTCTCCACTTTACCACTCCAACGACTTTTTGAGGTAGGCCAGGTAGAGACAAGAGGACCCGTGAGCTTCCCCATCATCCCCCTTCCCTGTGGAAGCGTTGTGGGTCCTTTAAAAGGTCTATGAAACACACTTCCAGGAGCTGGGTATATGCCAGGGAAGGGGGCTCAAGCCTAAAACTGGTCCGGTTCGCTGACCCTTACTGGAGCCTGCATCTTGACCACAGCCTGGGAAAGTTAACATTACCATTTCCAGCCTTTTTATGTTGGTCGAAGATGGGCGTCCCGAAAAGTAACTTTTCCCAGCTTTTGGTTCTTAACCTGCAAATCTCCTCATTCTGTTTTTGACTCCCAAGGACGCGGCACAGCTGCCTGGATGGGAAGGGACCTCCTCCCACCCTCCCTTTCACGAGACAGCCACCAAAAAAAAAAAAAAAACACCCCAAACAACTTCTGATCCCATCTGGGGAAGGGTGAGCATCGAGAAAAGAAGACTGAAGGGAGATTAGGATGGTGCTTTTCAAATCCTTGAACGAGAGTCGTACAGAGGAGGGGCAGGGTCTGTTCTCGGTCATCCCAGAGCGCAGGGCACGTCACGATGGACTCAATCCACAGGAAGCCAGATTTCGGAGGAATATCGGGGGGGGGGAAATTCTTAGTGTTAGAGCAGCGCGACAACGGAACCTATGACCTCGCGAGATGGAGAGAGCTCAGATGCTAGAGGCCTTCAAGAGAAAACTGGACCCCTGTCTGTCTGATCTACTTTGACTTGGGATTCCTGCCTTGAACAAGGGGGGGTCAGTATGGATGGCCTTCGAGGCCCCCTTCCCACTTATTTAGTCTATCATTCTGTGATTCCAGAACCTAAGTAGGGCCAGGCCTGGCTAGGATCTGGGCAAGAACATGTTCGGAATATCAATTTACACACCCGGGGATTAGAAGGTCATACCTTAGAAGCATTAACCTGCAGAGCCAGTTCCTTAAAGTCTCATGCAGGAATTAATGTATAGAAATTGACGAGCCCCTTTCTTCTCCCCCTCCACTCTCCCCCCCCCCAGGTTTTTACTGCCACTTTTTGGGCCTCGCTGCTAAAATCCCATCTTTCTCGTTTATTTTAAAAAAAAAAAAGAGGAGGGGAGAATCAGTAAAAAAATTAAATAAAATAAATCTAAAAGTTTTCATTAATCTCTCACGACAAAATTTAAAGCTGCGAAACTGGCACTTGTTTCGGCTTTTAGGACTACATTAGCTGGAGTATTAAACAAAACGTGTCAGTCTCCCGGTATCTTACCCGAGAAGCTAAATCAATTTTCTCTGCCGTATCCCCCACACCACTTTATCTAAAAGCATCTGAATTATCATTTACAGCTAAGATGCTTTATTAGCAGGCTGGCATAGAAATTGCTCTGTGGGAAAAAAAATCGCATGTCACGTTATAGTAATTTTTAAATTGGTGTTAATCCAACATCGTAAAATGTATGGGTTTTTTAAAACTTTTTTTTCCATAATTGGCGTTTTGGCTTAATGAAATGTTATCTTTTTTCCCCTTTCCCCTCCTCCTTCTCGTTCTTTTTTTCCCCCCAGAACCCAGCTCTGCAATAGGAAGAAGTAAATAATATAATAATAATATTCCAAGTTTGAACCAGAATATCGGCAGCTTGTGACTGAAACACTGGGTGTTTCAGTTAGGATTGTGGGTTGGAATACTTTCCATGGAAAGGCCGTGGGATGCCTGTTTTCCTATAGAATTAGGAACTTATGTGTTCACCTAGTTACTGTATTTTTCCATGTATAAGAGTATACTTTTGTCTAAAATCTTTAGACTAAAAATTGAGGGTTATCTTATACATGGAAGCAAGCTAAGGAGAAAACAAAAACAAATGGAGGGGAAAGCAGGGATCAAAGCAATCCTGCAGCGCTTCGATCCCTTTCCCTCTACACTTGCTAAGCCCCACTTAGATTTCTTAATTTTGGATTAGAAAGGGGGGCACATGGGGGTGGCTTATACACGGAAAAATACGGTACTTCTTCTCCCTTAATGGAAGACATTTAGAGTTCTTATCTTCTCCCCAGCACATGGATTTTGCTCAGATCACTGCGGCACCATCCTGCAGATGCTGCCGTAGTTCATCAGGGTCTGCTAGAATTCCAGAGCCTGCCAAACTTGGCTTTTTCTCTTTTTTTCCAAAATTACAAATCCCATGATCCCCCATGAGAGGCAAAGTGGTATCAGACTGGAACGACGATGTAAGGCAGACACACCTTGAAAGGACTCCCCAAGTCCTGCTTAGCAAGGGCTCCTTGAAACCAACTTATGGGGTGCCGAGCAGTTCAAAAGGACCTTGAGTCTGGCAAGAATTCTCCAGTCCATCATTCAAGGTCCTGCAACCACTGCTACCCCCAATGCCCCCCAGTGGAAGGCAGAGGCTAAGAATTTTAATCAGAGATTTAATCCAGCCTCCAGGATGATCTTGGTCCCCATCCTTCTTGTAACACTGGCTCCTTTGTTCACAACACGTTGGCAGAAAAACAACAACAAAAACCACAGGCTAATGCTTCCCTCTCGCTCTGATTTCGATGCAGGTTCAAGAGGAGAGGAAGTTCCCGAGGAAGATCCACAGATCGACATCGCGACGGTCCAGGACATGCTGAGCAGCCACCATTACAAGACCTTCAAAGTCAGCATGATCCACAGGCTTCGGTTCACCACGGACGTTCAGTTAGGTAAATCGGCCACAAAAGAAAACAACCCAGCGGGGCCCTTTCCTGCTTTTCGGGGGGGCTCCCTGAAGGGGCTGCTTTGGGCATGTATCGCCGGCCCAATCTGGAGCTCCCCATTTGTTCTGAATTGCTGTCCCGTCACCCTCCGCCAAGAGCCAGGAATGACAGGAGTTGTGCTCCAGAACAACTGGAAGACACTGGGTTGTCTTCCCCCCAAATCGGCCACATCGGCAGTTCAAGGCTGCCGAAGGAACTTGGGCTAAAGAGGGATTCACGACTTCTACATAGAAAAAAAAATACCCTTGCTGCTCATTCATGTTTGACTCTGGCTCTGTACAATGGAGCAGAGCGGGTGGAAACGGTGGGAAAGTGCTAGCAAAATTTGTGATCGTCTTAAAATTCGCAACAAAATTTGGCGTTCGGAGGGATCTCAAAAACAGTCGGGGGGGGGGGAACGGACAAGAAAGGCTTGTGGTTCCTTGAAAACTGAGCAAGCTTTCGTTGCATCAGCTTTCCTGGACTACAGGCCATTCTTTGTGCTGTCCTTGGGAGTCTGTACCAAGGAAAATACACGCTTTGCAGCTTTTTGCTGTAACGGACGAACCCATTGACACACACGCACACACCCCGGAAACGAAAGAAAATGTATTTCATTTCGAGATACAAAAAATTCTGCAACTATTAAGAGATCTGATAATACAGACGAACTCTGCAGAGTTTGATTGTTTGGTATCCAGGCCCTAAAACCAAGCCGTAAGGACTTTATCATTGCCCCTTTTGGACTGCGATCGTTATTTCCCAGAAAAAAACAACCGTCCACTTGGAGGATCTCTTTGCTATTTTTTTTTAATCCACCCCGTCTCTTCTCTCCCTCTTTTGTTTCTGTGTTTGTTTTTTATTGCGCTGTCTTGTTAAGGAAGGATTTATACGCTGGCACTGGTGTACGGCATGTGTTCCCCTCTTGAGCAAACTATCTCGGGGTGATAGTTTCCTTCCAGGGAACTTTGACTCACTTGTATCTGGAAGCTGTCAGAAATAAGAGCTCGGAAAGGTCGCGACAGATCACTAAAGATAAATGGTTTTAACGGCAGAGAGTCTGTTCCAGGGAAACAAATGGCTCTCGTTTCTCTGAGTGAAGGGACAGCTCTTGGCCAGCCTCGTGGAGTGGAGGGGCCATTGTCCCTTTCATCTCTTCCTCCCAATCTGTGGCTCCTTCAGATACGTTGACGTTGTAATCCTCCTTTAAGGATTCTTTTTGACATGAGCTCTCGCCATAGTTCTTGGGTCTTCTTCCCAGCTGTGGGCATGTCCACACCCTGGCATCCACAGTGAGGTCAGAGACAGTGTGGCATAGCAGTGAGAGTCAAGTGAGCTGCAGGAGGCTTCCCAGAACCTTCACGCCAGTTCCTTGAAAGCACCCGACCAGCCCTATATCCTCTAGTCGTCAATGGTTCGCAACCTTGGCTCCCCAGATGTTCTTGGACTACAACTCCCAGAAGCCTTCACCGCGCCACCTCTGCTGGCCAAGATTTCTGGGAGTTGAAGTCCAGTAACATCTGGAGGCCCAAGGTTGGGGACCATTGCTCTAGGGAAGTGTGAGTGGCCATTTAGAAAGGACTGGAGGGGGTCCTGGTGACAAGCGCAGCCTCCCTGTGCCATCCTAGTGGGCCAATATGGGCCCTGATCCCCTGGAGGCTACTTACTGCTGGTTTAGAGTGTTGGATTGATAGGAGATCCAGATGCAAGACCTCATTAAGGTATGAATGTCCCTGGTGGGTCTCAGGACGGTAGCTTCTCGTCCACAATAGAGGTGGGCCAATGACCAACCAGGACAAAGAAGTGCTGAGGAACACCTATTTCTTTCAGAACAACCCAGTTTCTCATGATCCACACGCTCAAAGGCTTTGCAGTAGTCTATAAAGCACAGACTGATCTTCTGAAATCCTTTGGTGCATTCCTAGCAGTCAGTGGATGTTTGCAATATGATCTCAAGTGCCTCTTTCTTTTTAGAATCCGGCTTGAACATCAGGCATTTTTCACTCTGTGCAAGGTAAAAGCTTTTGTTGCAACGGACTGAGCATCACTTTGCTTGTACAGGAAATTAAAACTATGGTCTGATAGTTACTGCACTTCTTGGCATCTCCTTTCTTGGGGACTGAAATATATATTGAATGTGGCCAGTCTGTGGGCCATCGTTTTGTTTTCCATATTGGTTGGCATAGTCTTGCCAGGATTTTGACAGATTCCATCTCTGTGGTTTGAAATACTGCCCTTTGTCCATTGATGGGAAATTGCATGATCCTTCCTCAGTCACCTGTCTTCTCTCCAAACTTTGGACGGTAGCCTCTTCCCATAGTTTGAATGGAAATGTTGGATGGAATCCTGGACTGTTCCTTCGGTTGTCTCTCAAGCATCATGGGCCTCGATGGCCCATGAGTTATAACGATTTTCCAGAATTAATAGAAACAAATACATATTTCCCACTCTTGTCATCCCAACCCGGCAAACACCAACAAAAAAAAATAAGGGTGAGGTCGTGGTTGTGAAAGAGAAAGAGAGAGAGAGCAAGGACCGAATTGACAAAGGACGTGGTCCTACAGCTAGCCGACCGAGCGAGCAGGTGTGAGCGATGCGGCGATAGGGTTATAATAGATGGGAGTATACAGCAACAATTTGCAGATAAAAATAATAGGAAGTTTAAAGTGCGCTTTACATGATAAAAGAAAGATGAAGTGGGCTGGGGAGGGGGAGAGAAAGAGGAGCCCGCTGGTTCAATCCACTGTCCCTGCCTTTTTGTGTGTGTGTGTGCCGGTACGTGTGTGTGTGTGTGTGTGAAGTAGCCTCCGTAGCGCAAGATTGATGCCACGCAAAGTGACCTTGGCTTCGAGCAAGAGTTGGTGATGTATGTATGAGCATCCTTCGGCTAAATGGACCCAGATTTGTAGTGCTAATATACATGGAAGCCCAGAACCAGGCTCAGGATGGCAATAAATCAACAGCCACTTTGAGTGTCATTTCTGGTTTATATTCCACTATTGTTCTATCACTTTAATTCACGTCACTATCATCTGTTCATCTGGAACAGTTTTATATAATTTTCCAGTGGAGTTACCTGACAAATCCTATCAAATTAACATGGGGGCATTAACAATATTGACTCCACTGTGCGAATTCTCGGAGCGAACACGAATGAAATGTACTTTTCGTTTCCCTTGTAAAAAGAAGGGGGGGTTGGAAATCAGGGGCTCTTCGCACTTGTTTTTTAATCTGTCGAACACGGTCTGTTCAGGTCGGGATGGGAGGAGATAATCTGGTTTATTTCCATTATAAATGATCCGCGGGTTTTCGTTCGGCACTCCCGTCTCGGGGGCCCGAGCGGAAATACAAAGCAGTTTTTAACGTCAAGGGGACAGCTGCTGGCAATATTTTCACAAGGGAGATATGTAGATTTTGGACAACTAACGATCGGGCTGCCTAGAGTGAAATGTTCCAATAAAGAAGCCCTCTCCTGACAGAGAATCTGGCTTTTTCATATTATTTTCGCTCTCCTCGCATCCTTTTGGGGCTCTTGACACAGCGCGTAATTGAAATATGGTATCTCAGACAGGGAGGGGGGCGGCGCGCCGGCTGACAAATTGCGCGGCTTGATTAATTGAAATGCGCGCCTTCGGTAGTGGAAGCCGCTGCAGGCGCTCCCGGAGAGGCCAGGTTCAAAATGAGGGTTACACTCCATTTGATGCCCACAGAAACTAAGGTTAACACAACACCCAGGTGGGTCACCACTATGTCCTGCCAACGGTTCACTTTCGGGGCCGACGGTTGCCGAACGCCGACGGTTTCGAGGGAGAGAGAGGACTACTGAGGGTCGGGGCCGTCTTGTTCCATTCCCTAGCTAGAAACGTCCCCCTCTTGCAGTCGAAGCAGTCCGGAGCGACACAGCCAAACGGGCAGGGAGCCTGTGAGAGTTGAGGCCCATCAACTCTTCTGTAATAGGAGTTCTAGATAGTTCATTGGTTTAGACATCTTTGCTGCAGGGGAGGTTGGGAGTTCGATCCCCCCCCCATAGGATCTCCTTGACAGGCTGGACTCAATGATCCAGAGGGTCCATTCCAGTTCTGATATTATTTTTCTAAGATTATTTAAATGGCAAGGATAGCCAACGGAAAATTGCTTGGCTGATTTGATGGCCGGAACACCTAAACCCTCATCTCCTCTTTCGCCATTGCGAAGGGCAGATGCCGCCAGAGTAGATCAAAGCAGGGTCTTCTTCTCACAGTGTAAATAAAGCCCAGAACACCAACGAGCATCATAGGCTACCCAACAACGGCCATAACAGATTAAAATAAAGAGCTCAGATATAGTTAAATAGCCCGTCGTTCAGTCTTGTACATTCTGATTCCAGTGTGAAATGAAATGACGGGGACCTAAATTGATCCCATTGCTAGCCCAACTAGAGTCGATGCAGCGAAAAAGTTGGGATTTATGCAAGAGTCAGCTTATTATTTAGCAACCGCTCCCAGGGGATCTACTCAAAATATAACCCGCTCATTAACGTAATGTCTGTAAAGCAGAAAGCAAAAGTGCGAAGTCTTGCCGGCATTTAGGAACGACGCAGACCTGCATTTGAGATTATTTTCATCTCACGTTGGCCATGTGATTCGGAGAGCTGTAATCCAGAAAAGCAACGTTTCCCATCTCTGGGGTAGAATCCCTGCACCTTCATACACTAACAACTCTTTACTGTTTCCCACCAGTTTTGAGCGGTTGATGGTATTCATACCATCATAGGGCATCCTCTGTGTGTGTTTTGCGACATCAGGAGCCACCGGGCCTTCTCAGTGGTGGCTCCAGAGTCCGGAATATCCTCCTGAAATCCACATTCACCCAGATGTTGCTTGCTTCTTTTTTTTCAGCAAAGGCCTGTTTAATTTCAGGAAGGGATTTTATTTTTAAATCTCATTTTCTTTTTTAAGGGTATTGACCTAATGCTTCTCAATCTTTGGACCGCTGGCTTTAGAGACCACTTTACTCGGTAGCTTTTATTGTCATCGAGTTATTGCTCTTCATTACCTGCTATCAAAAGGCAGGAGATGACTGGAACAAGCAAAACACTGGTTTTCTTTATCATGAATTAGTGTATGAGAATTGCATGCATAGTTTTGTTAGGTTCACAGTCTCTCCCTTCTCCACGTCTGCTGATCTTAAGCACCCAGGCCACCCTAGACTAGAAGACGGATGCCTTTTTCAGAAAAGGGAGCCTATTGTTTATTTGCTCAACACCCCCTAGATTTCTTCCAAGACTCTTGTAGGCGTTTGATCCATCTTTGCAGTTTTATTACATTTGGCAAAGGCCACGGCTCGAGATAAAGTGTGTTTGTGTTTGTGTGTGTGTGTGCATGTTTACAGCCCCCTTGTCTGCATTTTTTAAAAACATATATATATATATATTAGAAGGGTCTCCTATTTCCCAAACAAATAAAGATAAGGATAGGATCTTTCTGCTTTTTTCTTTTCTTTTCTTTGTTTCCTCCTTTCCTTTTTGGCTTAAACAAAGAAACCGCCTCCCCTTGGTTGTTTTTAAATACTCCTTATTCCTTTTGCTTATTTCAGGGTGACCTTGACCTGTAACTCGTGACCTAAAAATGTAATTACTTTTAAGTCTTCCCTGCACAGCTGCCACTATGAAAAACTATAGAGAGAGGTTTGGTCACTCATGTCAGAGACGAAACCTTGTAATTGTACGTTAAGCAAGGAGACGCTGTCCCTTTTCTGCAGCTGCCCGGCCAGGCTGTTTCGTTCGGGGGGGAGGGGGGTGTTTCAAGAGAAGGAGGAAAAATCATCATAGAATCTGTTATAAATTACCAAGCTTCTCCCAGGGCGGATTAACTTCTTCGTTTGCTCCGCTGGCATCTTGGATGAGCAGAACGGCCGCGTGGGTTCGTTCCTTTGTCCGCTGGCTCGCTCGCCGAGTGAAATTCAAAATGATGATTGTAACTGCTACTGTTTTCCTACTCACACTAGTCTGAGCTTTTTTTGGTTATGTTTTAACACTCAGGGATGCTAGTGACTCGATACCAAAGGACAGCAGGGGTACGTCAACCACGTACGATTTGTCCGTCCCACCTCCAGACGAACTTTGGATGTTGTCGACCCAGTACTGAGTTTCTCTGTTTTCAGTAATATATGTCATAAGAGGTCCCGTTTATTATTATCACTATTATTATTTGATGCACTTTGATTGAAACCCTCCTTGAAGACCAGATTTAGAAACACACAAGCTTTCTTAGGGGCTTGCGGATTGAGTTTTGTAGTGATGCAGAATTGAGGGCTGGCTCTACCCTTGAGCTACCTTCGGTCTTTCTTGAGCCTCCAGAGGGTGAACTACCACACACTTCTACTTTCTGGTAGTCTTTCGCTCCACCAGAAGATGCCAAACCAGAAGGAAAAAAAAGGTTCTAGTCCTTATTGTTTTATTTTGATTATATTCCATCACGCTGGGTGGAAGGAAGGCCAGGAGAATGTTTTAACTTTGCTTAACTCAAAGCCTCACAGTTGGGTGGTTGTTCTTTTTCTTTGGGTCCCCGTGGGGCCTTTCAGGGATCTCGGGAGACAAGGTGGAGGTGGATCCGGTGACCAATCAGAAAGCCAGCAAGTTTTGGATCAAGCAGAAGCCCATCTCCGTTGACTGTGAACTCCTCTGTACCTGTGACCTTGTGGAAGAAAAGAGCCCAAGTAAGCAGCCCTTTTTTTGTTCATCTCTCCTTCCCCCTCTTCCCATAAGCATCCTCCTTTCCTTCCCCTGCCAGAAGCCAAAGGGATTATGGTCGCTCAACTCCTTCCCCATACGGGTTTCGACCGTGCTGTTCAAAAGCCAGCCCTCATAAAACTCTCAAGACACACCCAGAAGATGCACAGGCTCAGATTCCGGTGAGTTTTCCAAAGCAGGAAGTTGATTTATGGGATGGACTTATTAACAACACCGGGTGAGTCTTCTCCATACAGTAAGACATACAGTATCCACAGGGGATTGGTTACATACGCACACAAACACACACACACCCCGTAGGTGGCGGAAAACTCTGAAGTACTGTATTGAACGCTACACATTGCATCGTTTCTGGTTCCATCTAGTGGCCAGTTCTGGCAAATACACCCATAAATACATATTTCTGAGATTTTTTTATTTCATCTTTTCAGGCAGCGGATAAATGAATGAGCGGTTATTGATCTTACAGGTAGAAGGATCCTACTGTACTGGGAAAGAGGGAAATATATGGATGGATGGATTGATAGAAGTTCTGATTCGAATAAGAAGAGTAGAGGACTGTATGTTCAGCGTTGAGCTGATCCCTCTTTTAATCCCACCCCCCCACACATCAAATCTTTTAAAATGCAGTTTGTGCCGTTGCATCGGGATACGTGCTGCTTTGCACTAGGGTCCAGTGGTTCCAAACAGATTATTATATCTTGATATATATTGTTTGCAGAGAGGTGGCATGTTTCTGACGTGGAAAAGTCAGCCCCTAAATAATTAGAATGCAAATAGAAAGGTTCAGGGGCTCAAAAAAAGAGGGCCCACATAAACACACACACACACACACACACACACACTCATACACACAATTCTGAGTTCAGCTCTCCAGATTTCCTGCGCCTACCATCGTTCCCTCGATTTGGGATGGGTGAGGCTGCAGTTATTTCAGTCCCCGCGCAGGATCAATGTTCAAATCCATCACCGAGGTTTTGAAATTAAGCATAACACAGGCCTGAAGCGTCGGTTACTCTCAATTAGAGTAGACCAATTCAATCACAAACACAAAGCGTTGATCTTCCTCTTGATTCAGTGGGCAAATAGCGGAAACAAGACCATGTCTTCTCTCCCCA